CATATGCCCCTTCATGCTTTGGCCACCATTCCAGAGGACATGCTTCCATGGTGATAACGTTAATTAAAAAACTAATATTGTTAATTAAATTTGTGACTGAATTCCTTGGGGGAGATTTGTATGTCTCCTGCTCTGTGTTTTACCTGCATTCTGCCATATATTTCATGTTATAGCAGTCTTGGATGATGACCCAGCATGTTGTTCGTTTTAAGAACACTTTCACTGCAGATTTGACAAAATGCAAAGAAGGTACCAATGTGAGATTTCTAAGGATATCTACAGCGCTCAACCCAAGATTTAAGAATCTTAAGTACCTTCCAAAATCTGATTGGGGCAGGGTGTGGAGCATGCTTTCAGAATGCTTAAAAGAGCAACATGCCGATGCAGAAACTACAGAACCCGAACCACCACCAAAAAAAAAAATCAACCTTCTGCTGGTGGCATCTGACTCAGATGGTGAAAATGACTGCCCTGCTCCTCTAAGTGGGAGGGTTGGCTGGCCTGGCTGAGTGAAGGGAACAGTGCTTTATGGCTGTGGTGGGAGAAGAGACGAAAACTGCTGCAAAAGAGGCAGAGTGGTCGCTGACTTATCCCCTGGGAATGCAGGGTTTGAAAACGGGCAGGGCAGTGCCTGGAGCCTTCCTTTTTACATGGACCAATAAAAAATAAATATAAACTGCGCACTGTACACTTTGTATTTTGTGTTGTAATTGAAAGCAATATATTTGAAAATGTGGAAAACATCCAAAATATTTATATAAATGGTATTCTATTATTGTTTAACAGCACGATTAATCATGATTAATTTTTTAATCGCTTGACAGCCCTAGTTTACAGTATTACATAATACATATGGTCTAAACATTATACAAAGCCATTGAAACAGTACACATAATACATGAACTGACACTAGTATAAGACATAATCCTGCAAACACCTACTCCTACGTGCAATATATACTATGGGTTGAAGGTGCATTGATTTCAATGGGACTACACCCAGCAGTGAGCATTTGCAGTGACAAGCCCAGATTATTTAAGAAAGTAGAATATAAAATTAAGAAAGACAGATTGCCTTATACGAGTGAAATACAAATAGTCTGAATCGGGATTGATTTCAACATAATGTGGTGGAGGAATCCCCATTTATTGATCAACTTTAAAGCCCAGGCACAGCACTTAAAAAAAAGATAAAGTAAGCAAGGTCAGATAATGAAAGCATTTAAATAGTAAAAACACCAACTGCCATTGTAGACTGCTAAAATAAATCCATAATACAAATTGCTTCAGCAAAAAGTGGATGAGGAGCTGATCTTCCTATTGAACTTTTATACTGTTCAGTGACCACACTGGGAAAAGAACTGGGAGAAATGCCTTAAAGATCAATATTGAGTGAGATGTAGTAGGGATTCATTCTGAACATGAAAGAATTACAAGTATGAGACTAGAGATATCTCGAAGAGATGTCATCAAGTAAAGATTATTTAGTTGAGTTAAAAATACCACATATGTCATATGCACAGTATATATTAGCTGAAATGCTCTTCGGTTTATTTTCTTTGATCTAATATGCTTTAAATGGCTCAAACATTCAGTTATTGTAAAACTTCAAAACATGGCAAAAGAAGAACTTACAAAAATATCAGGAAAACTGTTTATTGAAATGCAATAATCGATATCCACAAAATAGAACCATCTTTTTTTAAAAAACATAATTGCCTAAATTTACAGGTGTTAGATTATGGTGTTTTCTACCTTGCACTTAAATATATTTTATATTAAATCATGGCAAGATTAATTTGTGCAGAACACAATAGCAACAAATTTGTAGTGTACAGTGGCTGATTCCCAGGTATAAATGGCACTTTTTGTACGCAGACCTTTGTTTAATTTTTCCAAATGGAATCCTCCTATAGTAACAAATTCAGTGTTCTACTTAGATGTAAGATGGTGCCTATCAAAGATAAACTGTGCATTCAGCAAAATATGTCAGCCTGAATTGGGCCCTGAAAGCATAAAGTTTCTACACTATAGTCTAGTGTAAGTCTGCATTCTGCTTTGCTGTAATGAATAGTTATTTACAACTATTATTGCCTCCATATTTGCTGTATGAACTGCTGATTACAGCAATTTTAATGGTAAAATTGTGAAACAATATTCATAGTTGTCAGAGAAAGGTCAGCTTATTTGCATTCATTACGAACCTGGAGGACCATGCAGTGTGTTTTTTCCTTTGGGATGCTTACAGTTATTGATTTGTATACAGCTGTAGGAAAAATTAATTAGAATTATATTTCACTTACTACTGGAGGCTGTATAATAATAATAATAATAATAAAAAATCTACGTTAAAAATTACTGAGAACCAGCAAATGAAACCATTGTTTTTTCTTTAGAGTAAGCTCTTTGAAATGGCTGGAGGAAAATTTTTACAGAATTTCTGTTAATACTTCCATTTCTTTTGATATTTGCGCAAATATTTATAATGAGACTTACATTATTTTCATAAAGTATTTGTGGTATTTCTTTATGGGTTTGATTCGGTAAAGTGCTTAGCACTCTGGCTCCAATCCAGTGAAGCACTTAATCATGTGCTTAACTTTAAGCACAAGTAGATCCATAAGTAAAATTTCCCCTTATAGAAAGACTGTATGTATATTCGTAACTTCAAGCTTAATTTCAAGCATGAGCTTCCAATTGAAGTAAATGGGTCTGCTTATGTGCTTAAAGTTATGCATGGGCTTAAGTGTTCTCCTGGATCTGATTCAGAGAGTTCAGGAACTTGCAGGCTGAAACCTATTTGAAGTACAAAAATGTTAGTCATGTGTTTGCTAGCTCTGCAAGTCTGAAGAACAGTGCCAACAGCAGGACCAGCAAAGGCATATTGTCTGGCTGAACAGCACTTCATAGAATTGGAAAAGGAGGCGAAGAACTTCAGACGCAAACAGAGAAATGATGCTCAAATGGTATGCATTCTTGTATTTGAGATCCTGTTTGTATTATATTGAGAAATACTGTACATGATTAGTGCATACGTATGTGAACTTTTAACACTTCAAACGGATTAGAGTGTCTTATTTTGATCATATCCATATTGTTCACTGTGATAAGATTAGGTCTTGAGTCATTAAAAAATGTTTGGCTTATTTCCATTAAGTTCAGGCATGTTTTATGTGAAAATAGATAGAATGCAGTTTTCCATACTGTGGATATATGACACATGTTTGTGATTAATCAAATTGTAGTCACCTCTAATTAACAGCAGGGAGCAATTCCAAAATGGGGTAGAGCTAGATGACAAAGAAATAAAGTGTGTGTGTGTGTATATAAAAGATACAACATATTGAGAGAAAAATTGGTTTATTTTAGCTTTTGTAAGAGAATTGACTTTAAAAAAAATACTTTGTGGTTGATTTCTTGATTGTCTCTTATAAAGAACCATAAATAGAACTTCTTAAAAAAACTTGAGCTAATTATCAAAATTTTGCCAGTGCTACAGTGTTGCACTATTATATATGCAATCTTTTGGGGGATGGGGACAGGATAAGGAAATTTTACTCATTTGTTATATTTTCTTTCTAACCTTAAAAGAACATTAAGGTTGCAAATAAAAGTACTCCTAAGTCAGGAAATGCCAGAGTTATGGGTGTACAAGAAGTACATTAAAGTATTTTGTGAGCTGGAAAGGAGGGGGCTCAGGGACTAGATCTGACTGTTTTTCTTCCTCTGTCTTTAATGTTCAAGCTCTTTAAAAATGGAGTTATGCAGATACCATTTCTGTAACTAGTGGAATTCTGTCACAGAATTACTGGCCCCCTTAAGAGGGAACAGGGTACAGTGCACTTGTGACTGATTACTTGTTGCCAAATTCAACTTACGGGAAGGCACCTGAGCCTTATAAAGTGAGGGATAGCAGCATGGGAGGGGCTGCTACCTATGGACCTCTCTTGCCCAGGCAGGTAAGGAAAGAGAGAGGTGAGGAGTGGGGGCAAAAAAACGAACTGGCTTAAAGACTGAGCTTGATAAGTTTATGGAGGGAGTGATATGATGAGATTGCCTACAATGGAATGTGGCCCATTGGCTCCTGCCAGTAGCAAAAATCCCCAACTGCTAGGGACGGGACATTAAATGGGGAGAGCTCTGAGTTACTACAGACAGTTCTTTCCCAGGTGTCTGGCTGGTGCGTCTTGCCAAAAAGCCCAGGATCCAACTGATCACCATATTTGGGGACGGGTAGGAATTTTCCCCTGAGAGTCCAGCAAACACAGGCCCAAGAAGGAGGCCTGTGTACCCCCCTGACCTCAGGGGAGAAACTGAATCAGCAGAGCCTGATAACTGACTGGCGGAGAGGCTTGGAGGCAGACAAACCTCAGGAGGAGTCACTGTGTCCAGTGGGAGACTGGGACAGAAAAGACTTTACTTTAGGTTTATTTTATGTTAATAAACCTGTGCCCAAGAAGGTGTTTTGTTGGTGGCCTCTGTGAATTATTCCTGGGAACCTGGGAAGGGGAAATCAAGGCAGGGACCACAGAGCCAAGCTCGGACATCAGAGGTCACTATGAGGCAGGCCCGCTCTACTACAAACTCTCACTCCTGAGACCAGTGGTGTGAAATGTCCTGGTCATGGTTCATATCATTTCTGTTACATTGGTGTCATGTTATGGAGCTAGCCACATCCCATTTATGGTCTCTGTGAATGAACCCCCTTATGTGTTAGGCCTTGTGCCTTTATCTATTGCAGGATGGGATTTTGCAGTTCTCCCACTCATAAACCAGGACTTGGGCTACTGTACCCACTATTTCCACTGTTCTTACCTTGCAAGTCTGACTGAATTCACGTATCTGTGTTTCTTCCCTTCAGGACCTGGGACTAATGGCATACTGTGATCACACAGCCATCTTAAAAGTATTGTTTACTTATCAGTAGGAACAAAGTGTTACAGAAAAAAAGGATTTTAAAACAAGACAAATGTCTATCTCACCTAGATTCCTTCCATTCTTTGATGGTGATCTAGAGAGTTCTAGCTTCTCCAAGCATCTCATTTGGGTGCCTGTGTTTTCCTATGGTTACTCCTGGATAACTGTCTTTCTCTTGAGAAAGTGCCCTTTAAATCCTGCTACACTTTATCCGTCGGTCTTCATGAGCCTTTTCTGTTCCTGGTCAAAAATAGTTTAGTATATTGGCTTGAGACAGAGGCAAAATTGTCAAAGCTAATAGTTCTTCAAGTGTTTGTCCACACGGATTCCACTGTCGGTGTGTGCGTCTTGTTCATGTGAGCTTGGAATCTTTTGATGAGTGGTGTGTGTTGGGGCTGTGCATGCACCCCAGCTAGGGTACAAAGGGCAGAGCAGCCCTAACTGCCACTCAGATCCCTCTTTACATCTGTGGCAGCAAGATGGAGAACACAGTGTCCAACTTCCCCGCTGCTTTCTTAGTGTGGCAGCCTTGATATTGAGGTTTGTCTAATGGCTGAGTCTCGGTGTCCATGTTTCAGAACCTGTCCTGCTTGTGAGACAGCTATACCTTGAATGATGGGCAAACTAAGTGCCTCTTTTGTCTAGGGGAACTCATGTGCCAGACAAATTAAGTATTTGTAAATCTTTCTCCAAATTTACACAAAGAGTGTGCGATTTTCATCCGAAACTGTGTTTGATGAAGAAATCCATGATGAGTGCACCTGACTCTGAGGTCCCTCTTTGTAAACAGTCTGCTGCTCCTCCAAAGCCAATTTCTGTTTGTGCACTGGCTACCTCAGGCCCTATGATTTCTTCATGCACAAGCAGTTCTCATGTGTCTGTGAAGCATGCTGAGACCTCACAACAGGCCTCAGGTCAGTCAGTGACTCTGCTGCCCAAGGTAGAAAAGAGAAAAGTTCTACAGATGCTGCTCAACACCAATCATCATCCACAGTCCTGGCACAGTAGAGCTAAAATATCCACCTTTCTGACCTGTCCAAGCTAGGTCCAGTCAAGCCTTACCCACACTGTGAGTCTTGGTGTCTCTCACCTGACTCTCACCTCCCAGCTCTGGTACTGCACTATCAGTCTTCAGCAACTGCTGTGTTCACCTCGGTTCACTGTCACTGGTACAGATAATTTTGGAATCTTTGATGTTGTCCAGTGACAGAAAACATCGGTTTTGGTTCCAGTGCACTAAGTAGTATTCTCATCTGTACCACCATCTTTGGTACAGAGTACTTCTACTCCTATTCTTCAGAGAGGTGTTAGGAGCAGCTCTTCTCACCATGGAAGACTTGCTTCTGAGAGTTCACAAGCTTCTGGGATTCCACCTTCATTGTACCATATGCCCTGCCTTTATGACATATAATCCTGGCCATTCTGGCCTGCCTGGAACCTTCAAAATCATTTTTCTTATCATTATTCTTCAGGAACCAGGTCCCATAAAAGGTTTTCTCCTTCTTCAGAACCTTGCAAGATGGTAGAGTCACCATAACAGAATTATGAATTAAGTCATGACCCCCGGATTGATGAGGAAGTTCTCATGGAGGAGTAGGAAGATCAGCCTATTCCATTTCCTATTTACTCTTCATTCCAGTTGAAGCAGTTACACCATTGGTGCCTTCCATGTTTGATGATTTTAAAGCCATCCAGGACCTTCTTCAAAGAATGATGATATTTGACAGATTACATTGGAAATAATCCAGGAAAGGTTTTACAAGTTACATTTTTCATCCACTTGCCAATGGCCATTTAGCAATACCCACTAATGAGGACATTCTTGTGCTGACCCAAGGACCTCTAGCAGCCTCCCAGCCATATCTAAGAAGGCAAACTGGAAGTATCAAGTTCCCTCTAAGGGGCTCATGTACTTTTTCACCTTCCCACTACTGCTGGTAGTGGCAGAGGCTCATGAAATATCTAAGTAGCCTGATCCTGTCAAATCCATTCCCAGGGATAAGGAGCCCAAGAAACATTGGGGGAAGAAAAGTTTATTCTTCTGCTAGTCTACAGTTCCACATAGATAATTACCAGGGTAAGTATGATTTTTTAAAGATGAATAAGATCGTACAGTTTGCTGACAAGCTGCCCCAGGACTCCAGAGAATGAGTTTAACGCTATGGTGACAGAAGGTCAGCTGGTGGCAAAGACAACACTTTAGGCTTCTTTGGATGCTTTAGACACACCTGCAAGATCTATGGCCACAGAGTCTACAGTTATCGAACACTCCAAAAGAACTTCAGTCCTCAACTGTGGACTGATCTTTTGAAAGACACAGCCTTTTTAGTTAAAAAACTGATGATGTGCTTCACTCTTTAAAAGACTCCAAGGCAACACTTCCATATTTGGGCCCAGTTCAGAGGAGGAAGTGAAGAAAACAGCCTTTTTTGAGACAGAGTCATCACTCATCTTGTTCCTATCTCCAGAAGGCTCTGGACTCCTCTAAGAAAAGACCTCACTTCCAGAAAAAGAGAGGCTCTTCAGCTACTTCAACCTGTCAGTCTTCATCTGGCTGTGGTTGAGAGGCCTAGATCTGTATCCTTTCTCTCCTCCCTCAAGGAAGATTTTCCACAATGTGCCATCTCATCTCAGACCTTTGCACTCAACCAAAGACATCAGTAAGTTTTTGCCTGAGTTTACTGGGCCATATGACTGCTTGTATATATGTAGCCCTGCCACAGAGACTCCTTTTGAGTGAGACTGATATAGTCATGCTGCCTGAAGTCAGGCCAAAACACAGTATTTGTATGTTATTACAGAGCAGCTCCAAATCTGTCACATATGGACTTTACATTCTTTTGGTTATTACCCACCAACCATTTCATCAGCATCAATGAGAAAGTCAAGATGCAGCCAGTACTGGTCCCTGAGTAAGTTTATTCCCGACCACTAAAATAGTCTAAGGATAGAAGACAGTATGACCTATTTAGAGGAGAGTTGAATCATTTCATCTTATCTGATAGCAGCACCATCTCTTGTCGTCTCAAAAGACATGTAATGCATCCAA